ATAATTATATATATATATATATATATATATATATGTAATAAAAAATCTGATGAAATCCAAGCATTAATCAGAGGTAAATTGAGTGTAATAAAGGAATATTTTACCCAAAAATTACAATTCTGTTTTTGTCCTCATTTTTTTGCCCCTCAAAAAAAAAATAAAAAAACACCTTAAAAGCACTGTAAGTCCATAAAACTTGTGCATAATATTCGAAATCTTCTGAAGCCATACGATAACATTGTGAGACAGGAAATCAGGGTTGATGTGATGCACCACTTTGAAAATACAGAATGCAAGATATGAGAGCTGCATCAGAGGGGAAGATATTTAATGAATAAATACATTTTGGTCTGTATGATTTCAGACGGCTATATGTATAGCATGAGTGAAAACGACTATTTTATTATGATTCTACAATATTTTTGCCCTGGAGCTTGACAGTTATGATGACAATTAACATCTATTAATTCTTCAGAGTTTATGATAACAGCATACAGGTTTGGAACAACAAAAGAGCAAGTAAATATTAACATTTTTAATTTTGGGTGGAAGGATTCCTGCAAATACAACATGTACAGTAGGAAACAGAAATGCATACTTGTATTCTGGCCTCGTCTCCATCAGTAGGTCTAACCAGGTGGCCTCATATGATTCTCTGCCAATCTCATCAGTCTCCTGAAAATCACTGTAGGAGTTCAGCAGATATGACCTGGGCTTCCTGCTCAGGCAATGCATCTCATCCAGCGAGCTGGCAAAAAATAGAAGCCAAATTAAAACTGGATAAGAAAGTTATCAGTCAGATCTTCTGATAAAGGCTGCTGCTTCCCTCCTGAGTGTTCCTGTGTCTTATAAATAGGGTTTGTTGCTATTTTTACATCCTACCATCAACCCCACAGGAGTCTCTTCAGATTGGTGTAGTTTGAGGAGGTGGGAAAATGACTAATCCCACGACCATTTAACTGATATGCAAGACTAACAACTTCACCAGGAGGTCAACAGTGTCAAAGGACCCATCTGATCTCAGATTTCCTGTTGTATGTGCGTCAAAACATTATGGCTATTGCTGATAGCAACAAAACTAGATGCTGACTGGTGCCATGCCCTAAAAATGTTAAGTTAAATGCAATATACATTTTATGTGTGGTATTTAATGTACAGGTAGAAGCAAAGTAACCCTTGAAAGTAAATACATAATAGTATCCACGATGTTCTGAAAAGATAAAAATAGAAAAAGGTGCAGATATCTCTGACACTCATCTCATGTTTAAGGGTCCTTGTTGCCTCTCTCGGTTGTCAGCACCTGTGCAAAAGCCACACGCCATTGTTACGTCACACTGTGGCATTCAGAGCAGCATGTCAAACTCAAACCATTCTGTCTGATTGATGTTCTGTAGGTGTGATGTATAGTATAGTCCATCACTCAGCAGTAACAACAATTCTTTCTCGAGTTTACTGATGAAAGAGGCCTCTCTTTCAAGAGATTCCTGCAGGACGACTGTTAAATTTGGCCTCAACGCGCATCAACCTGTCATACAAGTGTTTAAGCAGCTGTATGTATTTTGTGTGTGTGTGTGTGTGTGTGTGTGTGTGTGTGTGTATTTTTGCTACTTTAGAGCCCTCTACAGTTAAGTACGTGGAATTCACTGTCGTAAATATCACTGTAACTAGCTATACACCTGCATTTGTTGCTACTGTAAAGCAATTTGTCTGTTTCGGAATTTCGACTACCAAATTAATAAATAAATAAAACTTACATATAGTTTCAAACAAAACTAACCCATGACTCCCATCGAGAAACTGTCCACGTTATATTTCACCTCAAAATCAAAATAATATTTCTAAATATTTGTTTAATGGCATATTTTTACCAAGTAAAAGCCAATATCACTGATAATGAAGACTCCATTAAATAATTTCCCCCAGTTTCTGGGGATAAAATGGGTAATTATAAACAAATAAATTAACAAACAAACAAATAATAATTAAATAAATGCTTTGTATCGATTTGTTAATTTGTATTAAAATATACATTTTTTCTGCAGTCTGGTAGTTTTCTTTTCTTTTTCTTTTTTACTGTCATTATTTATCTGTAATCTCTAACTGTTCTTTTTTTTTTTTTTTTGAGAGTAAAACTGAGAGGAATGAACACACACAAATCCATCAAATGTAAAACATCCCCAAATGTATTACCATAATGAGAATCTGGGGGTAAAATGTTCCTAATTGTCATGGAATAATGTCACAAGGCTCAAACAAATAAACACATACATAAATACATACAGTGGGTACGGAAAGTATTCAGACCCCCTTCAATTTTTCACTCTTTGTTATATTGCAGCCATTATCTGTGATTGTGCTGTGTGTATTGTTATACTATTACAGTGTTCAGGTGGTTTAGCAGCTGACATACCACAGCTCACAAGACAAAGACGAGAATCTGAATTACTTTAATTCACTATATTTAATAAAATAACTTAATAATGATTACTAAAGCACCAAAATCAGAATTAGTAACATTGCTTCAAAGAGCATTGAGACCACATTTCAGCTGGTTCGTCCCCGAACTTGACAGAGACATTAGGCAATTACATGCAGGTTTAGAGGACTGCAATGGTGCCAACATCCTTTTAAAGCCTGGAGGTATTTTGACTGAGAAATGCCAGCGATGCACTGAAAGCAAGGTGCAGCATCAGATTACTGCGGCCTGAGCCAAGCCAAAGCACTCGCCTGAACGCTTGCAGCCAGTTTCCCCTGTAATGAGAGCCTTATGGCAACTGCAGCTGCAATACCTGCACAGCATGATGGATGAGAAATGCCCCTCAAACACAAAGACACTCACACAGACCATCTTATATCAAGCTAATATGAACATTGCATTGAGCATACAAATGGTGTCTCTCATAAAGTCACATAAAAGAAAAGTTTTTCTCATAATGGCATATAATTTTGGGAACCCATATTTTTGCATTTTTGATAACACTCCATTTAGACTGGGATCTGAGGGTGAGTACTGGAGAGTAAATTGGTTGTAATGGAATGTTATGGATATATGAATGTCAAGCCCATGATCTATAGAGCAATGGAAAGACATTATGTCATCTGCTGATGTCATATGTGAGCATGTTTCTTGTTACTAGTTGTCATATCTGCTTCAAAAGCATACAAGGAGGAAACGCCTCAAAACAGCTCCGGTATCTTTCTTATGTCAGGGTTTGAATATGTTGAGGTTGTAATATTTAGGTAACATGACACCAGAACAGTTTGTCCCCTGCATAGTCATTTTATTTTGGCACTAGAGGGTACTGTTGTACAAGCTTGTTAGGGCCCGAGCACCGCGGTGCGAGGACCCTCTTGGAATTGCTCCGTTTATTATTATTCTTCTTCTTCTCCAAAGTGAATCGCTTTTTTGAGGGCCTAAACATTCTCCAAAACTCATGAAACTTTGCACACTTTCAGACGTTGTATTTTAACGAACTCCTCCTAGAGATTAACTCAGATGAACACCAAAGTTGTTCAGTATAACCTAAAGGCCTTTGCAATGTTAAATTGCGAAGATCTTGAGTTTTCGTTAAAGGACGTGTCCATGGCGCCGTGACAAATTTCGATGTCTCGCCATGGGAATAGAAGTTGTTGTAACTCAGGCATAAAATGTCAGATCTTCCCCAAACTTCACATGTTCAATAAAAGTCCTGGCCTGAACACATCTGAAGGCCAATATTCCATTATAATCATAGCGCCACCTGCTGGCAACAGGAAATGGCTTGTTTCACACTAACTTAAACATGCTATGTCCAATCTGCACCAAACTTCACATATTTGGAAAGAGTCATGGCCTGAAGACATCTAAAGGCCAATATTCAGTTATAATCACAGCGCCACCTGTTGGCAATAGGACACGTCATGCTTTATACTAACTCAAACATACCATGTTCAATCTGCACCAAATTTCATATGTTTGATAAAAGTGCTGGACTGAAGAAATCTACATGCCAAAATCCAGTTATAGTTATAGCGCCACCAGCTGGCAGCAGGAAGATTGGCACATATAAATGACTTTGACATATTCCTCCTATATTTACCACTTTAAATACATAATGCTCGCCGTTCACTGTTTTACTAAAGCCACCCCATGGCGGTGAGCCCGTGTGCGAGGGCCCGTTCATCGCTGCTTGCAGCTTTAATTTATTATGAAATTCAAATGACTATATCACATTTAGCCAATAATATTACAGGATAAAACATTTTTTTAGCTTCCTCATCTCCTGATACTGAACATAAATGCTCTCTAATGCATTTAACTAGTTAATATAATTAAAAAGCCAAGGTTTTAGAATGGAACAGTGAAATAAGCATTATTACATCCGTTATGTTTCAAATTTAGTTTGATAGTTTTGAGAGTAAAGCAAGATGAGAGAAATGAAACCCCAGCAGTTGTACTACTGTGATAGACAATGTTTATATAACTTATATACAATATATGTAGTTGTTATTATTATTATGCACTATGTATATGCATGCATATTGTTTATATACTACAATAACGTATATATGAATTATTAATGCTATTTCTGGTGCTTTAGATTATTAAATATAATGACAGTATTTATATATAATTTGTTTACCACTGCAAGTTATATATACAGTATACACACA